TCTTAAAAATAAAGAAGTTATCTAAAAATGTGCTACAATACCGACATAGTATAATCCTTTATCTTTAATTTCCTTCTTCATTTGTGTAAAAATACCTAGCCAGTTTTACATAAAACGTTAAATGCCGATATTTTGCTGCTTTTTCGGATTAGTGAAATGGACTCTTAACCTAGTAGATACCATAATTTAGACATCAATACATCAAAAAAGTAAACAAAAACGAACCAAGAAACCAAAGCAATCAAAACACGTTGTAAGCTAAAACGCGCCTGTTTACGAATTCCAATTGCCGAGTGCTTTTCAAATCTTGAGCACTTCCGAATCACTTCCGCAAGAAGTTTTTTGCGTGTCTATGTTTAAGAAAATTTCTAGAATGAGAAACAGAAACGTGTTTTTATGTAACTGGTTTCAGCTTCAGCTATTCTACAGGGTGTCCCACAATTAGTGCGACAAACTGAAAGGGGTTGTAGAGGGCATCAAAACAAGTCATTTGAGTATAGGAACCCATGTCCGGAAATGTGCCGTTTTGGCAGGAGGTGAAGTGAAACGTAAATTTCAAGTTGCATTATTTATTCAAAACATTTACAAAAGCTGCTCAAAGTGCCGTCTATTCTGTTGAAGACACAAATGCCTCTTCGCAGTTGATAGTAAGGCGTGCAGTCCGTGTTGGTACCTTAGTGCACGTCCAGTCAACTTCCTTCCGCTCATTTTAATAATACCGGACACGGGTTAATTCCTATACTCAAATTATTTGTTTTGATGTCCTCTACAGCCCTTTTGAGTTTGTCGCACTAATTGTGGGACACTCTGTATAGTAAAGAAAAACTGAAAATTATGCATTTCCGCTGAAAAGTTCTCGTGAGTTCAGGGGTGGATGGGCCATATGGGAAAACGGGAAAATTCTCGGTGGGCCGGTGGGCCGGTCCCGATCAGAGCTCAAAAAAAGATTGGATTAGCAAAAATTAAATGGTTAATCTTCTAACTAAAGTGACGTAAGATTCTTAGTGACTCCATAACTAACTAATCAATTTGCATCAGTATAATTGTCAGTTGATTTTAAACATAAACACCAATTTGTAAAATAACTATTGTAAGATGTCTTTCTCTGAGACACTTATAATTTGAATAAACATCTGTTCGGTTTGAAGATTTTTATTATACAAGGTTGATTTATAAGTGCAAATATTTTCAGGGCTGGTAGATCTCAATAAAAGAAACATAATCTATTCTCTTTACCGTGTTTCAAATAAGTCGATAACTGAGTAATTAAAGATTGAAAATAAAAAAAAAGATTTATTTAAAAAAAATTGAGCCACCTAAATTTTTCTGTATTTGCATCGCTTTGAGTGCCGTAATATCAGATATTAAGAAACTATACTGTGGGAAAATTTGCGTAAAAACAGGAAGTTCTAAAAAGTTTTTTTAAAATATACAGGAAAATTTTAAAAGAAGATGCACGCCCTTTAACATCTTTTTTTACAAAAAAAAACTCATAGACGTGTTCTTTGGGTCAAAATATACCAGCCCTGAAAATATTTACACTTATTTAAGACTCACCCTGTATAGTTTTAGCACTATTCTTTTTATTAATAACTAATAAATATGACTGACTGGCAGCAGAAAAAAAAAATGAATAGCATTAGGTAAATTTAAATAGTCTCGATCTAAGTGTATACTAAGAATAGGTAATAGTAGTACCGTAATCTACGGTAGCGTAGATTGACAACTGGGGGTCTCGGTGCAATATTTTTCGAGCTCCTCTTTGTAAAAAGGTAGACGAATTTGACGCGAACCCTGCGGTTGACGGAGAAAACATGAAGATGGCTATCTCTATGCTTGGTTTGAATCTTAGATTAAGAATAATTTGAATTGGGGACGGACTAAAAGCCAAGTCTGAGATCTAAAAGCCAAGTCTAAATTGTTGTTTAAAATGTTGCTAAAATTAATTTACTAAAAATTACTGAGACAGCAGAGAAGAGTTAAATAAGGTTTAAACTAGATTAGATAATAAAATATTAATATGTCTGGAAAATCCAAATATTCTTATTATGGGCTGTAAACATAGCATTACCTTAGAACACATTTATATCCAGTGCTACCTAGGCAGGATGTGTATGGATATAAATGTGCCTACACCTAAAAAACCTAGGCAATACCTAACTGCCTAGGTATTGCCTAGGTTTTTTTTCGTTTGAGACATGGCATTATCATACAAGATGCTAAATGTACAAAAGTATAGAGGAAAAGTGATAAGAACTATATAATGACCGAAAAAATGCAACGGTTTTAATTTTTAATGGCGACCGCGGTTCATTCAGTTAAAAACACGTATACTCGACGAGGCTACTCCTACTGCTGTACCAGAAAAGAGAGAATTTCTTTCTACAATGTGTAAGAAAGTATATACCTGAAAGCTAAAAATAATGTATTTCACAGAGGATTAGGCCAGCTTAACTGAATGAATCAGGAAGTCTTAAAGTTTCTCAAAATCGTAGTCTATTCAAGATCAAATTACTGTTATAGATAATGGAAATAAAGCAGTAGAACCCTGTAAAACTGAGCCATTTTGTAGTAAAAATTCAGATGTCCGACCCAATATTGATCTTTATGAAAATTTTGATCAAGACAATTTCAATTTTTTAAAAAAACCGGAGGCAAAAGGGCTTTTTTTCGCACAAGCGAAACACTCACTTATACATATAAGTATTAATAAATAAAATATGTTTCTTTGTTATGGTCATTTTGTTTTTGTGGATTTGGGCCGGTTGCCTATTATTCCCGGGCCGGTTTCTACTTCCCCATCCACCCTTGCGTAAATTATATTACTCTATTTGGAAAGACTTCCAAATACTAAATAAACAAATATTTCTTACATAACTGATTTGAGCTAAACTAAAGTAGCCCTGATTTCAGCAATTCTAAAGTTGAAAAACTGAAAATGATACATTTTCGCTAAAAAAATTTCGTGACTTTCTATTTGGAAAGGCTTCCAAATACACGCAATAAACAAATATTTCTTACATAACTGATTTTAGCTAAACGAAAGTAGCTAAAGTTGAAAAACTGAAAAAAGATGCAAATTTCCGCAGAGATTTTTGTGACACTATTCGAAAAGGCTTCGGAATACTAAATAAACAATTATTTCTTATTTAACCAATTTCAGCTAAACGAAAGTTGAGCCAAAAGTAGTACAGTGATGTGAAAACCAGCATCTTTGTATCTCTACTCATAAACGAAAAACTCCATAAAACATACGAAAATGGTAGCTCCAGCTCGTTGCCCACCACCAGGGGCGGATACAGGAATTTATTTTAGGGGGGGGGCAAATAAAAAGGAAGGCTTTTTTGAATAGTATGTCACAAAATTTTTTGTGCGGAAATGCATCACTTTCAGTTTTTCAACTTTAGAATTGCTGAAATCAGTTATGTAAGAAATATTTGTTTATTTAGTACTTGGAAGCTTTTCCAAATAGTAAGACACGAAAATTTTTCTGCGGAAAGCATAATTTTCAGTTTTTCAACTTTAGAATAGCTGAAACCAGTTACGCGAAAACATGTTTCTGTTTTTCAATCTAGATATTTTTTTTAACATAGACACGCAAAAAGACTTCTTGCGGAAGGGTACCATTTTTATTTCTTGATAAAATATTCTAAAATATAGCAAGATTTAAAAAGTACTCGGCAATTGGAATTCGTAAACAGGCGCATCTTAGCTTACAGCGTGTTTTGATTGCTTTGGTTAGGTTTGTTTTGGTTTGTTGGTTCATTTTTGTTTATTTTCGTTTTTTTCTCGGTACGGTATTGACTTCTATATTACAGTATCTACTAGGTTAAATTCATACCTACAAAGAAAAGTGTTTAGAATGTAAAGCAGGAACATGTTTTCATGTAGCTGATATCAGTTATTCTAAAATCGGAAAAAAGAGAATGATGCATTTCCGCAGAGAAATTTTTACGATTTTGTGTTTGGGGAGGCTTCTATACCGGATGCGTCTCAACAGTGGCTCACCCCTATAACTTTTTTATTTTTTTAGTGAAAAAAAAGAGATTTGGTATGTTAGTATATGACATAGATTAGGATTGATTGACGTATTCAATTGTCTTCGGTTACAAATTTTTAAATGGCACCCCGGTATTTTTTTCATTACTTTATTCAATAGAAAATGTCACTCTGAATAGAATGATATATCATACGTCAACTTTTGACATTTTCGCATGGTTTATTTGAAATTATAACTTGCGGTTCGTAACGAAAATTTGACTTGAAATGTGTGAGGTATCAAATTATTCGCAAAAAAATGCTTTTTCCAAATATACTAATGAGCCACCCTCGTTCCATTTGAAAAAAATGAGATATGACTAAAAATACGCTTTGATCATTTTCTAACTGGCCAGGACAAGACACTAAAAACCTAAGACGATCAAATCTATTTTTCCAAGGCTCCTTGATGAAGAATTAGTGTCTTTAACATAGCCATGGCACTCTAGATTGAATTTTTAAATACAACTTTTTATTAAGCGAGAATGTCAAAAGTTGACATATGATATGTCATTCTATTCAGAAAGCCATTTTCTATCGAATAAAGTAAAAAAATACGGCGGGTGCCATTTAAAAATCAAAAGTTGTAGTCATTTCCGGTGAAACAGGAAGTGGCCAAAAACAATTGAATACACCAATAAATCCTAATACCAAATCTCGTTATTTTATCTGGAAAAATAAAAAAGTTATAGGGGTGAGCCACTTTTGAGACGCACCCTATACTGGATGTTTTGTTGTTTTGTATATACGTGATTTCAAATAAAAAAAAACTTGACTCCAAAACCCTAATATTTAACCCAATTTACAGATTTTAGGGGGCCTAGGACCCCTGGGCGCCCTTCTGTATCCGCCGCTGCCCGCTACTGATCACTATTTTTTTGAACTACTCCGGAGAGATAAATAAATAAACGTTGTCTTATTATCCGTGATTGTGCGACTTGATCGATGTAAACGAATGTTAATAAGCGGCGCATGCGATTTTTAAATATCGTATTCGCAGAAGAGACAACATCGATCGTAGGGGTCAACCGAAATCCCAAAGCCGCGCCGATTCAAGGAGTACCACTCTGTTCGGTCAGCCGTACCGCTTGTCCATTGGAGACAGCGACGATTTCGTGATTTTTGCATTGCGTCGCGCCTGTCAGTTCGACGATATCAGGTGAGTTGGGTATTTGTTTACGTTATTCCTTTTCTTCATTTATTATTCGAGAATTTAATCGCTTTGAATTAATCAAGTTGCAGTTTTAATTGTTTTGTTTTGTGTTGTTATAAAATATTTGTAATCTAAAGAAGTTAACAAAACATTAATGTAATAAGATAAGATTCTGTGTTATTTTCATCCATCAGTTTTTGTTGTCTTATTTGCGGTATATTTATAAACTATGACATACAATAATACTTAAGTACTAATAACTTGTAGTAATTTATTTCATGTTTGTTATAAAAAAATATTTATAATGTAAGAAGCTTTGGCTCAAGTTTCGTTTACTTGAAATCAGTTATGTAAGAATTATTTGTTTATTTAGTATTTGGAAGCCTATTTGAATAGTATGTCATAAAAATTGTTCAGCGGAAATGCATAATTTTTAGTTTTTCATACTTTAGAATAGCTGAAATCAGGGCTAGTTTCGTTTACTTGAAATCAGTTATGTAAGAAATATTTGGTTATTTAGTATTTGGAAGCCTTTTCATATAGTATGTCATAAAAAGGAGTTTTTTATTCACTGAAATTTTCTGCGGAAATCCATCCCTTTCGAGTTTTTCAACTTTAGATCAGCTAAAATCAGGGCTACTTTCGTTTAATTGAAATCAGTTATGTAAGAAATATTTGTTTATTTAGTATTTGGAAGCCTATTTGAATAGTATGTCATAAAAATTGTTCAGCGGAAACGTATAATTTTTAGTTTTTCAAACTTTAAAATAGCTGAAATCAGGGCTAGTTTCGTTTACTTGAAATCAGTTATGTAAGAAATATTTGGTTATTTAGTATTTGGAAGCCTTTTCATATAGTATGTCATAAAAGGAGTTTTTTCAGCTAAAATCAGGGCTACTTTCGTTTAATTGAAATCAGTTATGTAAGAAATATTTGTTTATTTAGTATTTGGAAGCCTATTTGAATAGTATGTCATAAAAATTGTTCAGCGGAAACGTATAATTTTTAGTTTTTCAAACTTTAAAATAGCTGAAATCAGGGCTAGTTTCGTTTACTTGAAATCAGTTATGTAAGAAATATTTGGTTATTTAGTATTAGGAAGCCTTTTTAAATAGTATGTCATAAAAAAATTCTGCGGAAATCAATCCTTTTCGAGTTTTTCAACTTTAGAATAGCTAAAATCAGGGCTACTTTCGTTTAATTGAAATCTGTTATAAGTTAGAAATATTTGTTTATTTAGTATTTGGAAGCCTATTTGAATAGTATGTCATAAACATTGTTCGCAAAAAAACTTCATTTCATTTTGGGGTTTAATTTCGTTTTTTTCTCGGTACGGTATTGATGTTTAAATTACAGTATCTCCTAGGTGAAGTTCATACCTACACAAGAAAAGTGTTTAGAATGTAAAGCAGGAACACATTTTCATGTAACTGATTTCAGTTGTTCTAAAGTCGGAAAAAAGAGAACGATGCATTTGCGCAGAGAAATTTTTATAATTTTGTGTTTGGGGAGGCTTCTATATACTGGATGTTTTTTTTAAGTGATTTCAAGTAAAAAAAACTTCACCCGAAGCTTTTACTGTTAAACCATCATAACTATCTATCTATCTATTCAGCCTCTTCGGTCCATCGTTGGACATAGGCCTCCCCCAATCTCTTCCACTCTTCCCTCTCTGTCGCCGAGCTCATCCGTCTTACGCCTGCATCCATCTTGTGCCTGCAAACCATCATAACATCATACATGAATATACTTAATTTTAGATTTATATTTTCTAATTAGTCAAGATATTTAGTTACTTGATCCGGCTTTCGAGTGATGTACAGGGTGTCCCATTTTGGTTGAAATCATACGGTATCTCCGTTATTAGTGAAGATAGAAGGGTGCAGTTTGCACAAACCTGTCTCACTTTTTTGTCAAACGGAAGATGCCGTAAACAAAATTTTCATAGCCTTCTTCGTTTCCGAGCTACAGGGTCTTTTTGAAAATTTTGCAATTTGGGACACCTCCTGTATCTCTGTTATTGTTAAAGCTATCGAGAAGGTGAAAACTGTTTATTGTAGAACTTTTTACGTAGAATACAGTGGCGTAGTCTGTTTTTCTACCAAAAAAATATTTTTGAAAATATGAACTAAAGTTATGTTTTTTTAAATGGAACACCCTGTATATTTATAAAGTATATGATCTGTCTTGCTACGAGCTTCTCAAAAATATATATCACTCTATATTTATTTTCACTATTTACTGCAATATTTAAAAGATTTTATTAACAGATCATATTTATTAGTAGGCCATGATTGATAATAAAAGAAACTAAAGAATTATTAAAAGTATACTGCTATCTGTCTCTTGTTTTATTTTTGGAGCCCCTAATAAATTCTTTATTTTTTGTTTCGTTTCTTTGACCTGTATACTATATATTTTTTTGTTTTCACTCTTGGCTTTAGGTCGTTGGGGTTGCAAAGATGTTTCTAGATTTTGTTCATTATTTTTTTATTTTGTGACGACGTTTCGACAGTATATGTCTTTTTCAAGCCTCTTGAACGTAGATTCTTACAGAGTTAAAATTTGTTAAACTGGACAACACAATAACACATATTAACTATTGTTTTTAATTGTTTTTGGACATTACACTTTACTACGAGCACGTACGTATTTCCTTGCAGATCGCTCTGTATAAAACACATTTATAGGTTCAATACCCGATGTCTACTCGTAGTAGAAAAAAAGTAGTAGAAGTAGAAAAAAAGTAGTAGAAAAAGTAGACATCGGGTATTGAACCTATAAATGTGTTTTATACAGAGCGATCTGCAAGGAAATACGTACGTGCTCGTAGTAAAGTGTAATGTCCAAAAACAATTAAAAACAATAGTTAATATGTGTTATTGTGTTGTCCAGTTTAACAAATTTTAACTCTGTAAGAATCTACGTTCAAGAGGCTTGAAAAAGACATATACTGTCGAAACGTCGTCACAAAATAAAAAAAATAATGAACAAAATCTAGAAACATCTTTGCAACCCCAACGACCTAAAGCCAAGAGTGAAAACAAAAAAAAATAAATTCTTTATATATTAGGGAAACTTAACTCTCTACCGCTATTTGTAAATCTTGGAATACGTGTATACGTAAGAATAATCTATCGTATCGGAAATTTTAGATATTCCTTTAGCTAATTTACGTGAAATATACTTTCAGCAAGATGGGGAATATTCCCCCTCATAACTATGGAAATATTAGAATACTGTTAAATTATTATTTTTCAAATCAATGAATTGGAACCAATGAACGCATATTGATAGCCTCCTTGATTCCCGGATTTCGCCGTTCTCGATTTCTGATTTTGGGGATTTTTGAAATACGAAATATATCGTGGGCACTACAACAATGTCGAACACCTGAAAAATGCTTTAATAATTCAAGATTTAGATATTTGCAAACCCATCCCGTTATAAAAAAAGAAAAATATATTCACAGTTTCAGTGGTAACAGTTATTTCAAAAAGTAAAATATATCAATCCCAAATAAATTTTAATATGCGTATGACTATTTTAGTAAATACCATTTTGATTTTTTTTGTTATTTATCACGGCCTACTAATAAGAACATGATATATTTTAAATATTGCAGTAAATAGTGAAAATAAATATAGAGTGATATATATTTTTGAGAAGCTCGTAGCAAGACAGATCATATATGATTTGTAAATATACAGGGGGTGTTCCATTTGAAAAAACATAACTTTAGTTCATATTTTCAAAATATTTTTTGGTAGAAAAACAGACTACGCCACTGTATTCTACGTAACAAGTTCTACAATAAGCAGTTTTCGCCTTCTCGATACCTTTAACAATAACAGAGATACAGGGGGTGTCCCAAATTGCAAAATTTTTGAAAAGACCCTGTAGCTCAGAAATGAAGAAGGCTATGAAAACTTTGTTTGCAGCATCTTCCGTTTGACGAAAAAGTGGGACAGGTTTGTGCAAACCGCACCCTTCTATCTTTACTAATAACGGAGATACCCTATGATTTCAACCAAAATGGGACACACTGTACAAATTCATTACAAATCAACCATTTCCAATTATGGTGTAGTCTCCCTTACATACTCTCTTTGTAGTCCATTGTTGTCTATTGTTGGCTATGCAGGCCCAAGTTATCCCAGCTAATTTCCTAATATCATGGTCCCGTCTCAGGTTCGGTCTTCCTCTAGGTCTCTTAATTCCTCATGGGTACCATGCTGTAATTTTTGTGGTCCTTCTGATATCTGATATTTTTCTTGTCAGGAGTCCTGCCTATTGCCATTTGAGAGATTTGACTCAGTGGATGACATCTATAACCTGGGTCTTTTGTCGTATCCACTCTATTCTTTTACGGTATCTTTTGGTTATTCCCATCATATTCCTTCTATTGAATGTTGTTTTTTCTTATGATGTCTGTTTCAAGTGTCCAGGTTTCGCATGCATACTTTAGGTCATGACTGGGAGTACACATTGGTCGAATGTTTTCTTCTTTAGATAGATTGGTATTCTAGATTTGAATATGATTGAGATTCTTCCATAAGTACTCCATGCTAACTTAATTCTTCTGTTGATTTCTGGTAGTAGAGATCCCGAGCTTTGTGTCAACTTTAAAGTGTTATATTTTTTTTACTTTTAGCCCTATTTTCATGAATTTTTTAGCAAACTGTATATAAATCTATCAACTTTAATTCATAAACTCAATTCTTTATAAACTTTAGTATTTGGCTTATTATACAGGGTTAATTGAAGGGTTGTTTTTTACCCTACTTTTAAAACATCCTGTGCAATAATTTCATAAGTTACTTTTCCTAAAACATGTTTTCTGTCAGAACCATGTCTCTTGAGCATTTTGTTTTTTGACTCATGTCATCACGTGCCTTGGTTAATTTTTAAGATCGAAATGGACTTGCCACCAACAATTTGCAATTTTTCCAACTATCATTACTTTATGATGTTACCTTTTAATATCACGAGGTGGCTTTGATCAC